TTAAGTTTAGAATCTCCAAAACTGCACATTGAAGAGAACTCCATTCAGAGAGTGTGACAAAAGGGTACTTACATTTATATTTGAATAATACTTTTTTTTTATAATTTGACTTTCAAATTTCTGCATCTTAGACTTAATTGAAGATCAATTAAAGATCGTATGGTATATTAATTATAGGTTTTGCATTACTTAAAAAATTATTTTTTTATAAATGGGGAAGAACTAAAAATTTTTGTATTATACTTTCATTAAACTTATATCACCAAAAAAGCTAATTTATTTGCCATGGTTTTTCTAGTTTGTTATTGTTTTAAAATCAAAATGAAAAAAAAAACTCAAATGAACTGCTTTTTTAATTATTTAATATGGTCACGAGATTGTATACTATTAATACCTACCTAACTAAAATACCGTCGCTCGGGGAATCACTCCGACCACCACAAATATACACGCCAAGAGCCAAGAGCAGGATGGACTACTCTGAAAATAGATACAATAAAAAGTTGAAACTTAATTTAATAATAGTTTCTTGAGTATTGAGTATCGTATCTTTACTTAAATGATGCAGTCAAACAAATCTGTGTTTAACCAAGCAATTATTATCATGCGAAGAACGCTTTTAAAGTGCCGCAAGTAAACAGAGCGGTAAATAATCACCGCAAAGTATTGATATTTATTGTATGTATTTCGCACATTTCCAAAATTTTGTGAATTATTTTAATCTGTTTCTCACATGGAATGCATTATGCATCATGCATTAAATATATACATTTGACGTAATAATATAATATAAATAAGATTTAGTTAAATGAGATTTAGTCATTTTGTCAATATTTAAATTTTAATACATACCATTTTTTTTTGTCATAATACACGGTATTCACGTAACTTAATTATATATATTTAATATTGTAAGTCTAAAGTTTAATAAGTATTTTACAAAGTTGTTTTGTAATTATAAAATGTATATAAGTGTCTAGACCTGAGTACTTTTTTTACGTTCTTTGAACTTTTTGTAATTCCTAAATCTTATAGACAAGTAATTCTTGTTTCTATAATTGCTTTTATATCATTTAATAGAATTAAGTAAATCGACGACTTGTTTGAGAATATATTGTTCTTGATAATCCGGAAATGTATCTTCCAAGGGCTAATGTAATAATTACAAGATTTTTATTTTTGCTAATAATATAATAAATTACCATTTTTATATCAAAGAGTCATAAAATAATATGTTTATTGTGTCTGTTTATATGAGATATATACTTATCCAGCATTCTTGCAAATGAACTTCAAAGAAATGTATTTGCAATACTCTATATTTCTGGATAAGTAATTTCTAATAATGTAATAAATTACATTTTTTATATTAAAAAGCACACAAATAGTATATTTATATGTCTGTTTATACGAGATATCTACGTCTCCATCATTCTTGTAAATCAACTTCGAAAAAAATTGTTAACTCTATATTAGTGGATTAATTAGAAAAAAATTTGATATGTTTGTTAAATCTATAGTATGTGTAAAATAAATAGGAATTATGAAAATACAATTAAATGGAAGAAAATTAATTAAAAAACAAAAAAAATATGTGTTCAGATTAATGGGGTATCGGGTTAACTGGAATTATAGAAAATGCAATGAAAATTGTAATCGGACATATCGTTGTCCGATTTTATCGCAGGATACTCAATAATGATGTTTAATAAGTTCCTAAAGCGCCATGTATACATCAATAGTAAAACCAAAAATTTTCAATAATATTTTAATATTAATATAGCTTTAATATTTCATCTTTTGTAATTATTACAAGAAAAAATTTCACTTCGATTTCAGATTTAATTTTTCGTTCATTTGTCAGTGAATTTTTCTGAATTGGAAAAAGTAGAATTTCGGACAGTGACTTAATCCATACTTTCTAAAAAAAAGATAAAAATGGAATTTTAATTAATACCAAAATGATATATCTGTTAGCTATAAGCGCTCCTTCAAAACAGTATACTGCGTTGTAACTGAAGTGGTTTGTTTAAAATTGGTCGAACAAATCTCGAAGACGACCCACGTGAATGGCATCCAAAAACTGCATTCTCACCAGAAAGTAGCTTGTGTTAGCTATAAGCGCGCCTTCAAAACAATAGACTGCGTTGTAACTGAAGTGGTTTGTTTACAATTGGACGAACAAATCTTGAAGACGACCTACATGAAAGGCATCCAAAAACTGCATCCTCACCAGAAAGCGTTACAATTACATATAATGTTTTCTAACACTAGAACAATATTAGATAATGGTCCTCTCAGTTAGATTCGTATATATCTTATATTAATAATATTCAGGGTATAAAAATGTAACAATTTTCTTTTACGCATCATCAAAATAGAGGACTGAAAATCAGTTAATTAAGCTCTTTAAACAAGATTATTGATTCTTTGATAATCTTAAATTTTAAAAATGATACTGGATTTTAAGATCTTTAAAGACTTTTTCAGTGTATTCGCACAAACCTGAGTGATGTTTAGATATGCTTTAAAGTTCATTTATATCGAAAATAATAAATTGTATCTTAAGTAGTTAATAGAGTTTCACTATCTTTTCTAAACATCAAATCTGGCAATTCTATTAGTTAATTAAAAACATTAGTTACTCTTTATTCGAAGTTATGATTGTGCATATACGCTATGATTGTTGTTTCTAAAAAAATCTATAAAATCGAGGCTTTAAGTAAATTTAGTAAATTTATCTTTCACACACCTTGTGAAAGGTAGAAAATAATACGAATTTATCATAAGTTGATTAACTCGATTTAATAATGTATATTTTTTGAATATGTCTTATTGGTAAATAAAATAGTGCGGTTTCATTAAAAAAGGATTTTATAAAATTTTGAAGTTGATGATGTCTTCTAAAATTCTGCGGAATGCGGATTTTGTATGATAATTTTAAAAATTAATAAACTTGAAAAGAGAAATTCCACTCAAATTAGTGGCTCATAAGATTAATTACGCATCAGTTTGACACATTCAAAACTGCAGTCTTCGTCTATTATGGGAAAATTTTTGACTGTTTACAACACTTAGTGTTGCGTTTACTTTGAGGAATGTTTGATAACTTAACACTTAAAATAAATATTTTAATTTTTTGTTTATTATAAGTTATTAAAAATAATATATACTTTTCACTTATTGAAGGCTTTGCACCTGTTCCAACGTTATTTTTAGTTCTTGAATAGCTTTAGATAGTAAATTCCGTGGAAATATTTAAAATAACTGTTTTCAGCGGACGTCAACTCACCTATTCTTTCAATTCAATAGAAAACAATTTTTTTTTATTTTTCTAATTGGTGCTTTTTAAATAAATAGTAAGTTGTATTTATTTACTAATGTTGCATAGTATGGTTATAGTTGCCGTATGATCCTTTTCGAGGTAGTGAACCAGTAACCCATTCTACCCTACAGTAACCCTACCTTGCTGTCTTAAAAACGGAGTAGTCATGATCTTCTCGATCGATTGCACAGACTTCGACTATTTCGGAGCTCTTTTACTTATTTCTACATATATAGTGTTTTAATTTCACTGTCCAAAATCAGCAAATGTGACATTTACCGCGAATAGAGCTCATAACCCATCGTAAATCTTCATGCAATGTTATTCAAAATTTAGACCTTAAAATGAATCTGATTTTTATTTCAGATGTTTAATGGTATATGGTTTATATTTAATGGTAACATCCATTACCATTTGATGCACTTTTTAGATGTTTTCAATTGTTTTCCCCAATCTCAAGTTATAGTCAGCCACCCACACTGAGAAATGAATGTATGAATTACTAATGCTTCTATTGTAATTACTGGGTGTTTGTTGTAATTAATGTATGCTTTCATGCTCGAGTATAATGATAAGTAAATATCGATTTCGCAGAGAAATGAATTGATTATTTTTAATCTTATTTTATTTATCAAGAATTTTAGAAAAATTTATGTTATAATTTTTATTGTTACATATTGTTATTGTGAAGTATGCATGCATGACGTTTAATTGTAAGTTAATACTAAGTTCGCCGACGTGTAAAGTCAAAGATATTATTTCAAATTTTAATATATGTATATTTTTTAATTAAATATATACAAACAATATAACAATAAAAATTGTGCTCTTAATAAATTTATTCAGAGATATTTTTTCTAATTTCAAAATATTTTTCAATTAAATTTATATAAAATTACTTTTAATAAATTAACTACTTCCCGGTCATAGGGATATTTTTGACAATTGCAAACAAGCTAGCCAGACATGGTGCTTCAGGAAAGCATTTGGAATACCTACACAATCTGGGTATATCGTTGACATCATGCAAAGTGATATTGAGTTCTTCCCGCGTCGAACTCTTTAACAAAAGATGGGTAGACTCAACGATATGCATACATCTGTATACAATTTAGCTATGCTCCTATAAAAGAAAATCAAACTCTCTCATTGAGATACCTCGAAGAGATATCAGTCTTGTAGTAGGTTTACTTACAGGTCATTGTATTTTATGTAACCATACTAGGAGACTAAATCTCCCTTTCAACCACGTACACGTACAGTTGTGGAGAGGTCGATGACAGTATCTTTCATCTGTTTTGTTTCTATACAGCACATGTGCAGCGTCGCCTTATCACTTTAGGGGCATTCTTGTTTCAAAGATCTTGGCGAACTGTAAAACCTCCCTCTGAATAGCATTATAAGTTTTACTAAAGGTTTTAAATGGTTTAAACCCTTGAGTTTTTAATTTTATGGTAACTCAACCTAAGTGGATCCCTTAAAATCGCCGGTATAACCTAACCTAAATTAACT